GCGAAACATCTTTGTCTGAGCTCTACCCACTGACCTTTTGGGCTATGAGAAGCCGTCCTGTATAGCTCGCCTGGTCATGGAGGCTTGCTAGCTGTTACACTATGTTAAGGTGCGTTTTAGTCGTGATGAAACAGATAGGTTATTTAAGGCCTCTTTCCATCCTGCTTGATGTTTCCATGGCTATCTCATCGTCCTTGCACCGTCATTTTTACAGTATTAAGCGTTAATTTTCCAAACACGTGTAGGGTCATATTCGGCAAGTCATTAATTCGCGATTTTGTTTCATTAAATTGGGCATTAATTTAACCGGTGAAAAATTAATTTGGTCGAACGAAAATGTGTATTGGAATAGTTATGTTGCACAGATTTTATTGGATAATGAAAAGCCGAATGAAAAATGTGTGAACTGGAGATGGTATGTAGTGTGTTAGTCCAGAATGAATAAAACAGGTGTGAACGTTTACGAAAAAGACAGTAAACAGGGAAGTGGGGGGAGGGGAGGAAGAGAATAGAAGGTGTCACATAGAGAGATATGGGTAATTGATCCTGACAACTGCAGAAGCTATAGCAATTAGGATCATTAAGCCGGAGTTGTGCGTGCAACGTCATCTGGTTCAGGCGCTGCCATTACCATGGCCATAAGAGCAATTACCCATATCTCTGTGATAGCTTCTATTTTCTACCTTCCCTCCCCCACTCCCCGTTTACTGTCTTTTTCGCAAACGTTCACACCTGTTTTTTCATTCCGGACTAACACATTTCATATAATCTGTAGATTTTATTCTATTAGCCCCTATCGAATTCGAACCCCCCTGGTTAGTTGGTTAAATGTTTTACTCGTATTATTTCTTTCCTTCGATTAGATGATGTGTGATTGTTGGCTGAAATGTGGACTCCGTCCACGCAAAGGTGGATACAGATACAAATACACTAATTGCATCGATTTTGGAAACAATTAGCAATGAGTCCTTTGCATTGGCATTCGGTCATGTGATTTCGGCACATTACAAATCCAAATAAAATGATGAAGCAATATGAGTTCCTCTTTCTTTGCTCTCTGCTGGTTTTGCAGTTTTTATCCTCACTGAACGAGGCAGACCTGACAGCGTTTGGATTAGACACATTGGAAGATGATTATCAAAAATACATCCTAAATCGCCGATTGTGCACCGCAGACGTTGCAACGTGGAAAGAACTGGTGGGCTCGTTGGTTGCTCTGGGGTTTTCACCGACTGATGTGGAACAATTAAAGCTGTTGTTAGTCTCCATAATTCTTCTGAACTCCGTTCGATTTTTGCCAGCAAGTCCAGCCCGGTCAGATGTGCCCGTGAATAATCGTATTCGGATGCTAGCCTATACTAACACAGATTCACCATCTACGAAGGAGAACACCCCGGCAGTGGATATGAATGGTGCTACTGCCATGATACACCCGGAGGATTTAGAGAAGGGTAAGTCTCAATTTCTCGGATGGGGTTGTATTCAAATTTTTAAACCCACTGAACCCATTTTGCTGGAGGGCATTATGAGAAAATTATCTCTGTAGTGAGTACGCGAAGAATTGGTTTAAAGTAGTTAATGATCTTCATCTCGTATTTGTGGTCGCTACCGCTAAATTGATTTCAAATTGAACTGTGAAATTGTTCTTCAAGACGTAGTTAATGACATTTTTGAACTGTTTTCCGTTGGTCAGCATAACTGAATCGCCGATTCATGCTCGTCTTGTTTGTGTGTGATTTATGTTGATCGTCTAGTGTGTACATTGTAATGTCGTAGCGGTTTAATTAACTCCCAAACTAGGATGAAGGCTGTTCCATTTTTTATTACATACAAAGTGATTTTCAGCAAGCGGGTTAAATCCCGTAGCCAATGACATACAGTAAGAGGGAGGGTATACGGAGGAACACTCAAGTGGTAACCAATTTGTTAATCCTGATTTTGAAACGAGTAAGTTTATAAGTGCTTGGAAATACGATGGGAAGAGTGTTGCACAATTTTGCAGTCCTGGAGAAAAGAGAAAACAGGAAAATCGGAGTTCGACATCTAGGGACAGAAACCTGGGAACGAAATGAACGGGAAAAGGTCAAGCGGAGGGGAACCGCTGAATCGGGTTCAGTAACGTTTTGTTCCTCTTCTCACTCACATACCTTAGAAGATGCATCCTGTTTGCGCCATCCATCGGATACCACTCAGTGTTCAGCTAATGAGGCCAACCACCCAGAGGATATCAGTTTTTTGAAACCAAAATCTTTCAACTTAGCCGCACCTAATGTCCGCACCCTCTACCAGATCGGTCAACAAGCC